ATTCCTGGTAAGAAATAACCTCCAGTGATTTGAAACATAGTTCAATTGTCTCTGCCATAAATTTGAGAATAAGTGTCATATACGGGTGATAAAAATGGCATAGGCTATTTTTTATATACTCATTATTCACTTAGTTTGTCTTTTTCAATTAACATGGAGTCTATCTTTCTCATCTGACTGGGTTTACGTTTCTTTCATAATCATATGTCAACAAACCACAATAGATGCAGCATAATGTGGCATACAGTGTAAATCTTTAGGTTAATCCTTAACATATTTTATTATAGTTCATTTGGAATCAGTTTGTAACTTGATCATGATTTGTACTGGTGTGGTTTTTTTCATGATATGCTTAATACGTTACAGCTTCATCTTTTCTCACCTCTTTAATGTTGAGAGAGGGTGCTCAACTACTCAGCCAATGAGATTAGATATATCTAGTCATGGTTATAATTTTTCTTCTTTAACTTCTAAAAGAGATGTCTTATCTGTTTACTTCATTTGAGGAATCTTAGCAGTTTGGGTGTACTTCTTTCTAAATCACTAATGAAACTCAGTGTTTTTCACGATACTAGCTTTGTATGAGGCAACACAGCACGATAGCCTTGCTTTTGGGGATTTAAGGCACAGCAGTTTCTAAAGGCAGCACTTTCCAGGACTTTGCGCTAAAAGGAATGCTCACCTACTTGTTAGGCTGGATCAATGTGATGATTTTAGTCATCTTGGAGTGTCAGTCACTTTCACTTTACATTGTGTGTACTGTTTCTGTATAAGTACATATATATTTTTAAAAGACAGGTTAGCAAACTGTGGAGAGAGACTTCTAAATATAGCTGGGAAGGAAGGGGGAGACCAGAAGGAAAATCCTCAAATATTTATTGATTCAAGAGGACAGCCAGTCACAGATATTGCTTGATAATTTGTCTTTAGATGTGTTCCCTATTAACGAATTGCACAAAAACTTTGAAATCAAACTAATTAATTGCTTTCTAATGCCAGCCCATGTAAAGCTGAAAGATACATGGCAGTCTGTTTAATGTCGTTCACCTTTGGACAGTGTGTGTGCACAAATGTGTCTAGCTTGCAGCTACCTTCCAAAATCCTCTGGCCTGCCTTCCCAAATTCTCTGGCTTGCAGCCAGCTTCTGGCTCTTTGCAGGCCTTGAGGTGGAGGAGGGAGATGGGAGAAGGCTGGTGGCTGGAGGAATTGTTCTGCTGCCCTGCCATTCCCTTCTTGTGTGACTGGCAGCGCATCCGCCAGGTGACCCCGTGCGAGTGTCCCTTGTCATATGACGGATGCGTGTCCAGCCCCGAAACAGGAGCCTGCATTCTCCTCGGGTCACGGACAGGGAGCCACGTGCGTGCTCTGCCATGTGAGTGGAAACACACCAATCTCATCGCCAGTTTATAATTGTTTTCTGTCATTTGAATGGCATGAACTCATGAGGTGATGAAGTGGCGGCTAACTTTTTGGTAATGTGGTAGACAACATTTTGGTTATCTACTGGAGGAGGGTAGAAAGGAGGACCCAGGGCACAGCCTTTGAGTGCCTCTGTGAGAGTCCACTTGGCCCACCCTGACACAAAAATGAGGGAGTTGTGTCCTAAGTATGTTTGTTTATGGTGTGACTTGCGATCATAATATTAAGCCCTATAAACAACAAAAGTGCTATGATTTGTTATGATTAGCACTCTTGAATGCAGCACTTGCTTTGGGCTGAAAATTTACAACATTTTTGAAAAAGCCCATCTGCATAGTTTCAGCCTTCATTAAAGAAAATAGCCCCAAAGACTTAAAATGATGAAAAACTTGCAGTGTTGTCTTTTTATAGTCATGGAAGTAAGGAGAACCGCAAAATGTGTTAACAATGAAAAGCAAAGTAAATAACTCTTTTTCCTTGTAAAAGGAATGTAGATGAAAATGAAATTAAAATGGCTTTTCAGCTTTTGACTGTTGTATGAAATGGCAATTAAACTTTGAACTGAATGAGCCAGTTGAAGTGGACAGAGCTAGACTGTAGTGTGACTTCCCTTTTCTGTCAGTTTGTAACCTGTATTGACAGCAATTTGTGAGCGGATCGTATCCATCTGATCTTTCAGTTCAGCAGCTATTGTTAATTTCTGGAGGCAACTAACTTCTCTGGGGCATGGTTTGGACAAAGTTAAAATCATGAGCTTTAAGAAACAGTGACAAATATGGGTCTTCAAGCTATTGGGCAGTCTAACACACAAGCTTAAAAAAAGTTAAGAGGTGTTGAATAGATTTCCGAAGTTTATTTCTCTTTGAAATTTTAGGGTTTTCAGTGGAAATAGCTGAGTCTCTGCAATGTGTGATTAGTAATAAATAGCTGCTCAGTTTGTTGGAACAAAAAATTTATGGAAACAGATAACTGTTTGTTGTGTAGTGATTAGTAAAAGTGCTTTTCAATCAGAAATCTATTCAAAGATGTTTTCTTTTTGGAGTTTATCTTTTACTACTTTTTAAATGCCTCAATGGCCAACTGCTACTGAAGCGTGAAAGAAACGCATCTATGCTGAAGACTAGTGGCCTACACTTTGCTTTTCTGTATACCATTGAACTGGCAGAGGAGAGATCAAGTTTTGGATAATCCTGGAGAAGGAAGAGCAAATAAACTACTAGAATAGTGTTGAGAAATTTTGCTGCATCTGCCTGAAGTTCACTGTATGAGACTTGCATCTGTCATACTGAAGTCCTGGTTCTGTTCTTATTCTATGGTAAATCACTTTGAGGAATGTCAGAGAAATTGTGTGAACATACCCTTATGTTAAGCCAGTGATGAAACTCTAACAGCAGGGATTGCTTCTTCCATATTCTTCCACAGTGTGGAAATACAGGTAGTGAAGAGATTATCCTACTTCAGATAACTTTCTTGCTTCTTGTCCAGAGGAGTTTAGTGTAAGTTACTAATCTCATGTGCATCTGGCACATCCTGAATGGATTTACAATGCTAGATCAGAAGGTGGCTTGAGCAAGATACATAACATTCTGTGTAACTGTGAGTAGATAAGAAAATCTATGATACAGTAATGTGTAATCTTCCAAGTATATTGCCGCTTTAGCATCCTGTTGAAGATCATGTGTGTATCAGGTCTGTCTTCGTGTTTTGGCGTTGTGATGAATCAAGTTGTATGCTTTCTCTGGATGTACGGAATACTGTTACTTCCATGATGAGTACGGTGCATTCTGTTTGTGGCTACCTAAGCTCACAGAACTTGTTTTACAATCTCACAGGAGACGGAAGCCATCCCAGGGATGTATTCTCTGAAACTGCTGCTACTGTTTAGAAACAACAAACTCACCAGGAGCTTGTGCGTGGTCGCTCTCTTTCTGTTTTTCTCCTTTCACCCCTTTTCCATCTCATTACTTACTTTTACTGAGAAGACATGGAGCATGTACTTCAGCCCTGCACCTCCATGGTTGAAAATTCTGCATTATTTCTGCTTTTGAAGTCCAAACTTTTCCAGAAAAGAACAGATTGTGTCAACAGTGTAGTTAATCCTCAAGTTTTTGTGTCTACAGTGTAGATTACAAGAAGTGGTATTCTTTCTTCTGATAACACAATTAAGGGGTATGTCTGGCAAAGAAACCACGTTATCTCAACAGTTGTGTTTGAAAAAAGCTTTGAGTGTCAGTCAAAACCAGAGACAACTGAGTTCTCAGATTTTGAGCTTTTCCAAGAAGTAAAGAAGCTATTGAGTTTAAATGACAACTGCTAAGGGAAAGTTCTGATTAATTAGTGCCCAAAATTACTGTGCATGCATCACTCCTTATTTATAAATGTGACTAATTCCTCCAAGCTCTCACGTATTGCTGCCTGGGTAGACCTTTGGAGCTGCTATCTAATTTTTGAAATAAATATGTGAAAGTATGAAGGAACAAATATTTAATCAGCATGTCCCTCCCAGAGTGAAAGGTTGGTCTGTACAGGAAAATCCTGTTGGGTTTCATTGAGGGGAAAAACTGTTGGCGGTTTTGTTTTTTGCCCTCAGTAGTAAAATTATGGGGTCTTCTGACCTGAGGGTGGATGGTCAATGTCTTGAGGTCGCATGGATCCTTATTTGCCCACTTGATCGGAAATTACAATCGTTGGAATTTATGGAGATGTATAAATTTTCTCCGGGTTAGGACAAAATGTTTCCAGGGATGTTCGGTGTACAGCACAGAGGCTGTTGGGGGTGTGTCTGGAGGATTCATTAATACACATGTTAAGTGCCTTTCCTTCTGTCCTTTTAAAGAAGGAATGCCATAGAGCTGAGTGTGGGTCCCTACCCTTCAGGACTGCTTTGGAAAATATAGTGGGGAAGATTCTGTGTCTTATGGGAAGGGGGATCAATATCATTCTTTGGAACTCTAAAACACTTTACAAAATGAAGATTTTGCCACATTTTGTGACGACAGCAAGCCAATCTAAACATCTAAATAACGGTCTGGTAAATTATTTACAAAGAATGAAATCTTTGTAGTAGCTATGCTAGTGTTCTCAAAGAGTAACTTCTGACTTAATGTGTTTTCTTGCAGCCTGTAGTATAGAAGCGGGATATGCTTCTGTTGAACTTCTGTTTCGTAAAGAAAAAAGCAGTCAGTTAAGGCTTTCAGTTAGGAAATCTGCAGTAAATATTCATTTAATGTTGTTTTAAAATGTAAACTTTTGCATGCGAACATGAGTGTTACTTACGTATGCTTTCCCTTATTCACTGAAGAGTTATTATCCATACAGCTGAGAAATTTGAGTTAACAGGCAGGATTTTTTTAGTCATACTTCTATTTTTCAGTTTTCAGACTGATCATGTGTTGACTGGTAACTATAAGAAACTTTTACAGTTAACTTTGGCAATTATTTTTGTTAACCAAGAAAACATACTACTGGAGGAGTTACACTCTCCCAGATTCTCAGTCACTACATTTTTTTTATGTTATGAAATGGATATTTACTACATTACAAAGAACCATGGTAGCTTTTATGGCATGCTTTGATTCTACATGACTATATAAATGTGTCTTTTGGAGAAGAATAAAAAAATACAATGACGGTTAGGGCTTTAGTTTGTGATTCTACAAGTGCAGGTATACTTTAAGTACAAGCTTGGGCTTGACTCCTTCAGTATGGTTATTGTGTCTACCTGCATATTTGCACGATTAAGGCTTTGGATATGAACTTTTAGTCAAGTAGGGAGTTCAGGGACAATGTGAGAACACTTGAAAATACTGTAACCAGTAAGTGACCTGTATTAGTAGCTGAGTAGGAGTTGCTGCTAAAATAATGAATTACTCAACCATTTTTGTAGCTTGAACTTCTGGAATAACATGGTCGTAATACATGCATAAAGGCTATTTCCATGTTTTAGCTTTATCCCTTACTTTAGGTGATGGAAAGTAATTGTTACAGTACTGCAATTTATTAGGACTTACGTGGCATAATTAAGTGAGCAAGAATCAAATGTCACCATAGGATTTGCTGTGCTAAGCATAAGTAGATCAGAGAACAAATGTATCCCATTTAGGATCTGAAATGTCTGTTAACGACACTGTGTATAGGCCTGAAAATAATTTTCTTAGTTTCTTCACAATAGTATCAGGACAAACCTATTACAGCTGTATTTATCTTTTTATGAGGTGTACTTTTTTTTTTCTTCTTTATTTAGATGTTGACACATTTATTTCCCAAACACTAAAAGGAGAAAATCTATCCAAAAGAGCAAAAGATAAAAGGGAAGTTCTTCTTAAGAAGATAAAAGATGTTAAGGCAAGGTAAGTGAGCTTCATGGCTTTGATATGTTGTAAAGTCACTTACTGATAACTTAAATTTTTACAATCTTTTAATAACCATTAACAATATCAATGATTAAAAAATCTGTGTAGGTCCTGATTTTTGTGAAATAATCTGCATGAGTTCAAGTATTTATATCTTTCTCGAAGCTGCTAGACTTTAGTAAGAAATGGGAACGTAAGGATTTGTCCCATGTGAATTGCTGTAATATTATGAATCCTGATTGCAAGCTGGTTGGGAAGAGCTTGCCTTCACCTCTGCTTTGATAAGATTCATTAAAATACGAGAAATATAATGCATTGAAAATACGAATGAGCTTCCTGTCGCCATACTCTGGTGGTGTAAAGCAGCATAATTCAGTGCTGACTTTACTGTATATTCTGTTCTGTCTGTAACAGAAAATTGAAACATAACTGGAAACTATTTCTAGATCATAAGTTTGTTTCAGCAGTGTTAAAATAGTGAAGTACTGTGACATACCAAGCAGAGGGCTGTTTTTTTTGGGTTTTTTTTTTTTAATATCAGGTATGATTTGAGACTCTTTTCTACTGCGTTTTAATTTCAGTCAAACAATTCAGCTAAAGAGATTTGGCTGTAGTTTTATTTGTGCTACAAAATTTTCATTGCAAAATCTCTTTTCTTACAACTCTAATCAACTAGGATATAATTTGGTACTTGCTGTTTTTTTTCCCATTGTTGTTTTCAAAGTGTTTTTCTACTGATTACTCCGTTGGATATCTCCTAACCTTTACTTTGATGACATGCTCCTGTCTCTGTGGCAACTTGTTTACAATTTCAAAGAGAGCACAATCATCTGGCGAAGGCATCATTCTTTGTATCACACCAAGTGTGGGAAGACAGGAGATGTGTTCCAAAATCTTGTAATTGAAGATTTGTGTGCCTTTGATTTAGGCTGTAAAAGCTTAGGGAACTACTTTTCCCTGTGTGTGTGTTTTTTTTGTTTTTTGTGGTGTTTTGTGGTGTTTGGTGTTTTTTTTTTTTTTTTAAGGAACCAGGATTTTCTCTATCTTTTTTTGTGCTTTACCTTCTGGGTTATTGAGCTAACTGGGACTGTACAGATGATTTGCAGATACAGCACTACTGACTTTTTACTTCAGTCTTATGAGTCAACTATGTTTTTTTTGGATGGTGAAATACCAAAGGAGGGAACCTGCAGTTATGAGCACAGTTGACACTAAATCCTTTGCTATTCGCTTACATGACTCCATGATTTCACGTCTTATTTTAATTTCTAATTCCTTCTTCATCTCCTGTAATACTATTCACGGTTAACAGTGTTGTGCTTTTCATGCAGGCTACAAAATATATGCACTTTGTAGTCATCTTTGATTTTCACATCCTGCATATCGGGCTGTACCTATTAGTGCTACTTACTATGCAGGATTTCTTACAGCTGGCCTTTTATCGCTGTTTGCATTTCTCAGTTTCTTATTCCTAGACCCTTCCTTTCTCTCCTGGTCATTACTTGCAAACATCTCCTTACTGACTAGCCTGATACACACACTACTGCTTGTTGTCGATAAAGATGGTCTTGGCAGCTACATTTTATTTGCCAGTCATTTCTGGTAAAATCATCTTCTTTTCACATAAACTCCAGTCCATGCATGCTTCTTGAGATGCCATTTAAATAACTCTGTCCGATTACTTATCTTTACACATGAAACTGTATTCTAGGATTGTTTCTGAAATACCAAGATTTAGCTCTGAAAAAAGAGTACTTTTTCCCTTTGGGATGATAGATGATAGAGTTGGTTTTGGTTTTGAGGTTTTTTTAGGCATTAAATAAGTTGAGATCATCTTATTTGAAAACTATTTTTTTTTTTAATTTAGGCATGCATTAACTTTTTAATTTCTGATTATTAATACGTTTTCATTTTGATTTGATAATTTATTGCCACTAAAACTGCTATTTGTGGAATT